CTGATTTGAGGAGATGCTGCGGTGCGATAATATCATTTCTAAAAAAATTTGTTCTAAACGAATAACTTTTTTATTTGTCACACTATAGTATTGAAATTGAAATGAGGCAAACCTTTTGGGACACCTTGGGGAAAACATGCAAATAGGATTAAGAAAACATACCAATAAACTTGAAAATAAAAAATTCTCACTTTATGATTATTTTATAATCTATTTCGGAAAGCGATCTAAAAGCAAAACTTCATTAGATAGACCCCTGAGGCAGACAAAAGACTTAGAGAGCAACCCAACACTTTCAGTGTTTGGAATTGCTTTCATTGCAAAAAAAAGATTATTAAACACTCGGTGTTTGACATTTTTCTTTAGTGACTTAATTAAAGACTTGATCAAATAGTAGGTAAAGGTTGATTGTTGTTTTATATTTTGCTATAAATTATTTCTCTTGCGCCCATATAAATTTTAGTCCCCAATAATAATTGCACAAATTTTACCTACCCCAAAATGCCTCATTTAATTAGAAGATCGTAGGAAGGAACCTTCCAGATCTCTTTCCTTTCGTATGTATATGTAATATGTAATATTACTGAAGTATTCCAGGGACAGCGAATTGTTGTAAACATGATAATCACCACATACACCATTTTACAGCTGCTTACTTTCTCGTGGAACTGTAACGAAATTATTGAGCAGGTAAATAATCGACTTTTGCGATTTTGCAAAATGGTGTGGCATTTTCTTTTAGAGTATTGCTCTATCCACGGCACTTTTTAACAGCAATTGGTACGAAAAGAGCAACTCTTCCAAAGTATTAATCCTCATTATGATGATGAGATGTCAAAAACCACTGTGCTTGCATATCGGTCGCTTTGGTACAATGGATTTAAATGCCGGATTGTCGGTAAGCCAATTGTCGATGGCTAAAAACTGCCAGCTAATACTCAAGCCGTCTTTCGTAGTTTCATATTCGTCTACTAAAAAATTATAATAATTTTTGAAATTCGGCTTCTTTTAAACCCAGTAACCGGAAAATTCTTAATAAAAATAAAAATTAAAAATGTAATATACTGTATACCATACTATACCCCTCACGACTCTAAAATTCCTAGTCTCTACGGTGTTCCAAAGATTCATAAACCAGGATTACCCCTTCGACCTATTGTCAGCACCAACATATTCTCTAGCAAAATATCTAGCTTTCTTATTAAAACCCCTTACGGGGATAACTGACAGTTTCGTACTTAATTCCTTGCACTTCATTGAAAAATTAAAAAACATTACATTAGAAAAACAAGATATTCTAGTTAGTTTCGACGTAGAATCCCTCTTTACTAAAGTCCATGTTCCTGACATCATACGTTTTACCATTGAGTTGGAAGCTAATAATAACCTGCCATTCTTAGATATTCTTATCAATAGAAAATCAGACCTAACATTGGGTCATTGTGTTTACAGAAAACCTACGCACACAGACCGATACCTTAATGCATGAACACATCACCATCCGGCCCAAAAATCATGGGTTATCAACTCTCTTGTTTACAGAGCCGTAAAACTATCTTAGCCCGAGTCACTGAAAACAGAATTAAAACACCTTACCTCTGCCCTTCTCTCTTCCACATTAAAGATATTAAACGTTCCATCGAAAAATACACTTCACCACAACCTTCCAATAGCAATGAGGCCGAAAGTAATATTACACTTGCCACTGTGATCCTTCCTTACATTCAAAGCATCACTGACCATATATCAAAAGTTCTAAAGAAGTGTAACATCAAAACCAGATTTAACACTTGTCCAAAAATCTCTCAACATCTGCGGTCCGTCAAAGACAAAATTCCATTTGAGACGCCCGAAGTTTACAGCATTCCATGAATATGCGGCAAAGAATACGTTGGAGATACCGGACGAAAAATATCACTACGCTCAAGGAACACGAAAGAGCCTTACGACTAAGACAGATAAATTCATCAGCTGTTGCCGAACACACTCATGAAACCGAGAATAAAATTTTATTTGTTAAAACTAAAATTCTTGCCTGTAATCAGTTCTTCTACCAACGAAAAATCCGAGAGTCTATAGAAATCTATAAACAACCTAACAATCTTAATCGCGAATCAGGTCTCTACCTGTCTCCAATTTGGGAAACAGTCATCCGAGACGGGGTTTATACCCCTCATTAGCGCCCCCCCCCCCCCACCCTTAAGCAATATATAAGCAGATACAGAGTAAAATACGAGCCAGTTTCAGTCAAGCCCTGAAGAAGCTAACAGGATGATTGGCGAAACGTGAGCAATTTCGACTAAGCAAAAACCGACACAAGAGGAATGCAGAAGTTTTGTAAAAAGAATTACAGTAGCCTGTGGAAGTTTCTTTGAAAAATTATACTAAAGATATGTTATCAGTTATCAACTTCTTGTTTAGAGAGCTATAAAAATATCTCAACCCCACTCACTGGACCCAGAATTAAAAAAAACTGTCAAATAATTTTCACATTAGAGATATTAAGCGTCCCATTACATTTGCCACTGCGGTTCTTCCTTGCATTCAAAACATTACTGACCACATATTAAAAGTTTCATAGAAACCAATTGTTGAAACCCGATATACCACTTTTCCATCCATCAAAGATAAAATTCTGTTTGACACACCAGGATACATTGGAGAAACAGGACGAAAAATATCAACTACACTAAAAGAACACGAAAGATCCTTAAGACTACCACAAATAAATCCATCAGCAGTTGCCGAAGTGTACATCAAATTTTATGAGATAAAACTAAAATTTTTGCATTCTTCTTGAATTCTTACACCAAAGCAAAATCCGAGAATCCATAGAAGTCTCTTAACAACAAAACAATCTTATCTACAACTCAGGTGCCTATCATTCACCTTTATGCTCTCCTTTAGCTCCACCTCCTTCATAAAGCATATAAGCAGGTACAGAGAAGAATGCAAACCACTTTGAAAAAGCCAACGTCAACAATTTCTGTTGATCAAAAACCGACTCTGGAGGGATCCAAAAAAGTATTATAGTATTCTCTGGAAGTTTATTTTTTACGGAACCCCCTTTAATTGAATTGAATTCAACTATTCATTTTCAGCATATTTTGTATAACATTGTGTAACAGCTAAACTTAAATATTTAGTTAGCAGCACGATTTTGCCAAAAAATATATAAATTAAAAAATGTCGTGGGCAGAAACATTTCTGATACTAAGATTAAGTGAATACAGTTGCTCAACGTTGCAGGGTGTGTTACAAATTGGGGAGAAATCTAGAATTTTCAAAGCATAGTTTATCAATTTTTTAAATAAAATTCCTATGCTTTCTTTTATTACATGTTGTTGATGTTGAATAAAATAAAATGCAATTTAAATCGTTAATGCAAACTATCATTTTATGGAAACTTGAAATAACTAAAATTGAAAAAATATCAAGTAAAGATATAAATTCGATTTTTCTCGGCAATTATCCCCAAATTAAACAAATATCACTCTTTATAGTCATGTCACTATTATAGTCACAATATTAAATAATTAATGGTTAAAGTACTACTGTTCTTTAAGGGCCGAAATAACTGAACATTCAACTTCTTTCTATAATTACAACTTATTATTTATTAATTGAACTGAGATGGCTATTACTTGATGAAAATCCATTTATCAAAATAAATAAGAACTAAAAGTTCAGATTTTCACGAAATTATATATTATCACATGACAATTGTTTCGACAACAAATATCAAATGTTATTATTTATTATTAAAATCTATTTAGAAGAGTATATCCTCATGCAAAGTTCCATTCAAATGCGAGGAAGCATTTTATGATATAAAAAAACAAACATTCCATCTAAACAAATTGAGATACGATGTTTTCAAATTATTTTATTCTCGCTACAATATTTGAGACATACTGCTGACTAACTGCATTATTTTAAGTAGTTTCAGAAATATTTGTCCAAAAATCACGGAGCACAATATTTTTCAAGAGACCTTCTAATTTATATACTTTTTGCAAAATGTCAAATATTTAAAACAGTTGTATGTTATATAAAATGTTTTTAGAATTAAAATATGCTGAAATATATAGGGAGTTCCATAAGAACAAATATAACTTTACCTTCATATGCATTTAAGAGACATCGTACATGCAAATTTGAGTCACTCCGCATATTCTCCCCTTATCTACAAATTATATTTAATATTTTTTTTTAGAATATATTAATAGATATCAACCAATCTTTTTATTTTATTTTTTAGAGACTTAAATTGGGATACTCCTATACATCCGTGATGTCTAAATAAAGTTAATATAAAGAACATAGGTAAAAAATTCTAAAAATATGTACCAAGTTAAAAATAAGATTATCCTGTGCTTAAATATTTAGGTAATATAAGACAGTGGTCGTTTCTTTCCTAGTTATTTGATCTAAAACGTTCCAAAAATAATTTCTGATGCTTTGCGTTCAATGTGACATTTAAAAATTTATGTTCAAAGTCAATTTTTACACTCACCGCAATGCATTCAAACCAAACAGATCTATACAAAAATAAGCAAAAAAGTCTAAACACCCCCAATTATTTCGGATAAATGTTCCTTTAAACTCTTAAAACCCCTTTCAAGTAGAAGGTGCTCCCCTAAAATTAAGGGTTGCCGCAATGTGTATATAGTTTTCCATGCCTTTTCATTAAAGCCGTTCTGTAATGATATATTCCGAACACTCAGAGGCGTTCTTAATTTTTTTGGAATAGGATTAAATATTTAAAAAAAATGTAATAGTTGATACAGGTAATAATATTTATTTACATCCCTTATTAAATAATATATTATATAATAATAATAATAATAATTTATATAATTAATTTTTGTTACACATATTTTTTACGATTCATTTCATTTTTTATTTAAATTTCAATACTTACAAAATAGAAACTAGGAAAATACTTATACACTTTTGTATTTGTCTAAATAAAAAAAAAAATGAACACTCATAAATGTGTAAGTTACTAATATTCATATGGTTCACACACAATTTGTTCTTAAAAGCATGAGCCGAAAAAAAAACAATTTTTATAACTCAAGTAACTATAGCAAAAAAAAAGTTTCTGTCAGCGCTTATAAACCTGGAACGTTTAGTTTAATTTAAACAATTTCTAAAAAACGTTCCGAAAATTTGTAATAGCAGTTACGGAGTATATTGAATTTTCACTATTGACAGTGAATTAAGGAGAAGCGGTTTTAAGTAATACTTTCATAGTGGGGCGGAGTCGTTATTTAAGTTTTGTGTGCAAATAGACTATTAAAGGCGTGCCCTCAATCGTGTATCAACGTAAGCTGTAATAATTGCTATATATAATTAATACTAATTACTTTCGAGATAGATTAAATTATTTCAAAAAACATTCCAAGTGCATAATGAACGTTACAATGTGTCCAGCCACCGCCACTGTATAAAGTCCGTATTGAATATTAAAATGACGCGCGACTATCGGCACTTATGTGCTATAGCTGCACTATGAAAACATACTTCAGGCTCATGAGGCTACTGATGATGTTCGTGGCGAATAAATAATTCTCGGTCATCAAAACTACCGAAAAAATTTTACCAATTGTATTCTGCGATATTTCATTTAATCTATTCTTCGGTGATGATCTCGCTGGCAGCCGACTTACCCATGCTGTTTCAAACAGACAGCCTGGCAGGTGATAAAAGGTTCTGGGTTTGCCTTATTATTGACGCGTGTCGTTGCAGCTATGGACAATGTCGGCAAGTTTATAATCGGGGGCGTGACAATTTGGAAAATGATTATGTGTCAGTCGAATGATGTGGTGAATTTGATTCGGGTCGCGTTGCGTCAAGATGCTGAAATTTCGAGCCAAACTGAGCCCGGAGTAATAAAAATTTACAAATGGCACGTAAGCCTCGACAACAAGTTTGTTTTTTTGCTTGTGATCTCGGCTACTCTGATGGGGACCACGAGCACAGTCTTGGGTGAGATATTACTGAAGATCGCCTTAGATAAGTTTGCTTCTCATACCCACTTTTCCGGTTGGTGTCGAAAACCATTGCATCCCAAATTGCTTATAATCCCACTTATGTTGTTTATCGAGATACAATGCATTTACATTGTATATATATATATATATATATATATATATATATATATATATATATATATATATATATATATATATATATATATAGCATTGAAGATGCCAAGTGAGATTTTGGCGAAACGTCTGCAGGATTCCAGTCGGAGTTCAACGAGCGAACGGATGATATCCCGGAATATAGTGTCATCACATTTTTCCAAAAATATTTGCGGAACATATTGATGCGGTCTATATTCCACCCGACGTGGATATCTTGTCTGACGAAACTAAATCTACAACAGTTTGGGGAACCAACTGATATAGTTGGAACCTTCGAGTTACATACACCAAATGATATAACTATCCTTCAACAGTCCTGTAATTCATCAACAACTGCACCTGAATGGGACTCATCAGATGAATGGAATTCAAAAGACGTATGCTTTCTGCAAATGACAGGCTTACTTCTACTGTCAAATGGAAGAAAGGTCAGATTGAGTACACTCACACACACATATATGTGAGCTTAGATCATGTGAGGAACTAAAAAAATAAGCTTTCTGGAAAAACTCTGCTTGAAATATTTTTTGATGACGAAGTGATTGATTTGATTTTAAATTTTACATTGCTTTGCGACTTTTAAAAACTGATAAAACAATTACTCAAAGAAATCTTGCACCTGCCATAGATGAAGTGCGTTATGATAATGAAGGTCACCTCATGATTGTTCATGCTAATAAAGCCCGAAGGAGATGTAGAATCTGCCACAGCCACACAATTTACGTTTTTAATAAGTGTAATGTGCATTTAAATACTTCATGCTCTGTAAAATATCACCAAAAATTTAACCGGGTGTTTCCACTCACGCACCATAAAATATTATGCGTTTTTTTGTATCAAATCAGGTTCTATTTGGAAAACGATCTACTTTTAGTTGTTTTATGGCGAATTTGAACTTCATTTTGTATATTTATCTATAAATTATATCTTATGTGCCCCAAAACATTATTTAATGTTTTTCCCAGTGGTTCGTTTATGTAGCAGTATTTTTTGTATGGTTCGAGTTTTTATCTTTTTTTTGACACACGTATTCTTAAGTGCAACAAAATAAATAATTTCAGAGCAAAAATTCTTTTTTAATTGTTTTCATGGTTGGGATAATATGAGTTAAAGAGGTGGAGTTTAAATTTACATAGCTATGAGTTTTCTTACTCTGATTGGGTTTATTGCATTAAAAATGTCTTATTTTATTGCCGAAGGATACGACATGTTGGTTGTGTTTATCCAGTGTCATTAAAACTCATGCGTGGCTGAGCGAGTATAGACAGCAAATTATCCCAATAGTAGACATTTTAGTAGAATGATATTTAGTTTTTTAAGTAAATGTTTGCGCGAAACACGACCAGTTCATTCTCATACTGTGCCTAGAAGAAATCGACATGTTAGGAACGAAGAAAACGTCATCGATGTTATTGCCTTTGTCTATATTAATCCCCATTTAAGCTTAAGATGAAAAACTTTGGACTTGGATATTCGTAAAATATCGCCACACCGAATTTTAATTCTTCTCATACATAATTCTTATCATACTGAATTACATCAGGAACTTTTAGAAAGTGATTTAGATAGGATATTAGACGTCTATAATTGGCCAATATAATGGAGATACTTTTTCGCGCAATGGTGAAATCAATTTGCATAATATGAATTCGAATCGAATCGAATTAGAAGATTATTCTTCTTTGAACTTTTTAAGAAACCGCTTGCCGATTTTATTAGAGAACGTGAGGAGATATGTGGCTGCAACACGATGGATATCTAGCACCCTTTTCTCATGAAGTTTTTAGACCAGACTTGTCCAAATCGTTGCGTTGGATATGAAGGGGCAGTTTGTTTCCGTGACCTGCCAGATTTCCAGGTCTTACTACCCTGAACTTTTACCGCTAGAGTAGAATAAGATATATTGCCTGACAAACTCGACCTACTACCTGTAAAAATATGGTTGTAGTAGCAGTGTGCTGTAATCAACCTTACAAGTGCGCTCGTATTAAATACACAATTCAGCACGTTCGATAACCTAGGAAAAGTCCCTTTTAACGACTCCAGGTTTATTAAAATCCATCAAGCCATTTTGGAGTTATCGACATTTATTTCCGGAGCACTCCCCACCACTTCTCTTTTAGAGATAGAGTAAAAAGCAAAGATTTGAATTTGTATCAGCTTTAAAACAGTGTTTATTCTAAGTGTTATTAATATAATTACGCAATTAGGCCTTTTGGTGGATATATCAGAACCTTAAAAATAAATTAAAGCATGATTTTCTCTTGGCCGATTTACTTTCGTTTCTCCATTACTGTGCCCTTACTGTACCCGATATATATTCTAAAAATCTTCGAATGGCACACTTTTTGGTTTTGCATGGAATATTCGTAACGAATATTCTATATTTTTTTACTATGATATTGAATTGATGTGATGATGTGAATATTGAATGGATACCTATTCGGATAAAAATGAAAATAGGTATGTTCAGAGAATATTACGCAAATACTCTTTCGAATATGAGACGAATATTCATAAAGAATCTGTAATTTTGGTAAAATATTGGTTAATTAAATTAAATATATGAATAATTAAATACCATGTTTAAAAAAATTCATTTTGTTTGGATTATTTTTAACCATTTTTTACTCTGAACTTTTCAACAAAATCTACATGACTAAAAAAATTGTGCAAAACACAACACATTGCTAATATTTCAAACAAATTTCCAGAGGCTATTGTAATATTTTATAAATCTACTGTATTCCTCATGCGTCGATTATTTCATTCATAATTTAACCTAGTTAGGGTGGAAATGCTGGACAGTTCCAGTTGTACAAAGCTGCGCTAAAATTTAAAAAAGTCGCCGAACGGAAGCAAATAAAACAACTTACGTGTGTGTTTCAATGCTCTTGGGAACAAGTACAATGCCGCAAAATAATAGAATGTGCTTTCAACAGCAGAGGAATAGACATTATTCTAGTTTTCCCTCTCCGCAACCCGCAACCCGCAACCTCGGCATGTAACGAAGCGGCCAACATCTGATGCAATTATCGTAACGAAAGGGGAAACATCTCATGCAGACGTTTTAAAGGCTGTTAAACTAAAGATAAAACAAAGGGTAATGCAGCCGATGTTGCAGACGCTCTGAAAGACATAAGAGGAAGTGAGTGCATCAGAAAGACCAGAAGACTGGCACTCAAGACAGTCCTGCATGTAAAAGACCTAGACGCTATAACTTCAAAAGAAGAAGTAGAATGTGCTTATAGAGACTATGGTAGAGAGGCGAGTATCACTGGAGAGATTAGAGTTAGCTTAATGAGACCTGCTTTTGTACCAACATAATAATAAGTAAACCAAATAAATCCGTTGCTAAAAAAAACAGGCTGATGAAAATGTGGATGCAGCAATAGTTTAAGTAAGTTCATTATTAAGTGTACAAAGTAGTGGAGGAGGAAACGGGTTTGTATGGATACAATATCAAATTACTATTATCTACAGCTACTACATATCGTCAAACGTACAGTTCTTGTTCTATCTCGAGGAAAGTATATGCTCCCAAAAGGAAAAGTGTGTTATCTGCGGAGATTTCAATGCTAAATCAGCAATGTGGTGCTCGTGAGTCACCAACTCCAGAGGACAGATACTATCAGAATGGGCTTCTAAATTGAACTTATTGCCACTCAATAATGGAAACACATCTATATTGACAAGGAACACAAGATAAAATTAGCAAAGAACCAAGCTTGGAAGAAGGTACTGGAGGAGGTCGAAAATGACATGTGGGGAAATGGCTACGAGATAGGTTCTAAGGACTCAGAGGACTTGCCAATTCATCAGACGAGATAAGTCTAATTGTGGCTGGTAAACTTTCCACCCAACACGAAAAGATAAACTGGAATCATATTTCAATACCTCAAGGAGATATACCACTCCTTAACGAACCAGAATTGAATAAAATCATTAAAGAAAGCACCGGCGCCGGATCTAAACCGGAGATAAAAAATGTATAGCAACAAAGCTCCGATTAGTCTCAATCGAGAAACCGAGGAGAAAACAGGAACAAACTGAGGCTACGTATAGACCGTTGTCTACTTGATGGGATGGGCGAGCTGCTAGAACATCTGATAAAAATTAGATTGGTGCGGAGATTAGAACGGAGGATTAGCTCCAAGGCAGTTCGGTTTTGTGAAGGGAAGATCTACAACAGATGTCATAAAAAGAGTTGTAACGGAAGTACAAAAGGCTAAGAATGTTGCACCCAATAATAGGAAATTATGTCTTTTCATCACGCTGGATGTTAAGAATGAAAAGTTTCACCGTATTTAGTGCGCACGATCGCTAGCTATTTATCGGACCGAAAGCTGTTTGTAGGTGGCAACAATGAAGTAATAGAGGTTACCTGTAGTGTTCTCCAAAGCTCTGTATTTGAACCGCTGCTATGTAACATATATGATGCAATTTTAAGACTAGATATGCTGGGTGTTGTTGTAACTGGAAAGACCGAGACAACTTTAGTGACTTTGGCGAGTATAGCCATTGGTAGAATGTTTAACATTATGAAACAACGAAAACTGGAACTGTCACCGGGGAAGACAGAAACCGTATTACTAAGATCGGTAAAAAAAGTCATCCTTAATATCGTGGACCAAGAAATCGTTACTAAACAGGAAATTAGGTATCCGGGGGTCTTTATGGATGAGGAGGCTTCTATGAGGCGGCACGTAGTAAACACATGCAAGAATGCTGAAGCATCGGCAATGGCATTTGGCCGCTTGATGCCAGTGGGCCATCAACAACGAAGCTGAGTGCTGTCACTCATTCAGTTATGTTGTATGCAGTTCCTGCATGAAACGA